TTAACAGGAGTATGTTAAGTACAATTTGTTGATGAAGATGCCGAGGAAGCTCTCTGATACCAAAATCACCTGAAATTGATCATTTGTCTAAAATTGCACAAACTCACAAATCTTACTTCTAAAAAAACTAAAGAAAAACCAGCCAACGAGGCCAAGGAAAGCAGAAACAAGCTCACTGGTAAACATCCCTGGGTCCTAAACCATGAGTTGGGTGCTTGCATTTCCAGATGAGCCCCAAGTTCCATGCAGGTGCTTTTGCATCTAACAGATCCAAAGCCAAGAGAGGGTGGTCACAGGCACTGCGTGTGGTTAGAGGTCTGCATCTCCCTTTCCGTCCCCCCAGGATGAGGAAGGAGGCCTCCCCTTGGCGAATCAGCCATCTGGGCCACAGATCCCCCTGAATGGCCCCTCATGACCCAGGCCTCTGCCTCCCTCCTTCCCAGCCCAGCTGTCCCCTCTCCCAGACCCTGGCCTTCAGGGAACACCAGCTCTGCCTTCTGGGAGCCACAGTGGGCTCAGACCAGGGGAGAGGCTCCAACAATTGTGTGTGTGCCCAGAACTGCTGATCCAAAGAGACTCCTGCTGCTTCTCTGCCAAGCCAGAGATGCTCCACAGGCACTACATGCCCTCAGAATGCCAGAGGAGGGGGGCACACCATTCCATTTCTCACCTATCCCCCCACCCCTCTCAAGTCATACTTGTCCTTTACCCAGCCAGCTGTCTCCCAGGATCTCCCACTGGCTTGAGACAGACGTAGAAGTAGACGACTCTTTGCGACCCTATGGACCATACCCAACCAGGCTCCTCTGTCCATGGGATTCTCCAGGCAAGAATACTGGATTGGGTTACCATGCCCTCCTCCAGGGAATCTTCCCGACCCAAGGATCAAACCAGAGTCTCTTATGCCTCCTGCTTTGGCAGGCAGGTTCTTTACCACTAGCGCCACCTGGAAGGGGCAGGGTATATCCCACCCAGCTAGACAAATACAGGTTCCAGGAGGCTCTGAACAAATGTTGAGTTTCCTTCCTCCTTCTCTCTAGGTGATAGACAGAGGCCCCCAGGGAGTGTTTTCATCTTCCAAAAGAACATGCTCCATTAGTCCAGAACATCACTGTCCTCTCTGCCTCCAGTTTTCTAGGCCAACACTCAATCCCTCATGGAGTATTCTTGACACTTTAAAGGATCTGGCCGGCATGAATGCCACTGTGACTGCAATCTTTAATTAATATTTATTGAGTGTCCCTATTAGGTGCCTGGCAAGCACACTGTGTTGTGTGTGGCAAAAATATCTATTCCCTTTCCTTTCCAAGAAAGTACATTCCTGGACAACCCAAGAATGTTGACATGCCAAGGAAAGGAAAAACCTACTCTAGCAACAGCAAGAGTGAGCTGGAAATGTGTGAGAGGACAGAGGCAGTTCACAGTAGTCAGGAAATGGGAGCTTGAGTCCTGGGGTCCCAAACTGGCTGTGCAAGTTCCAGCAGATAGCAACACTTCTCTGAATCTGCATCTGCACAAATGTGAACAACAGTATCACTCTGCCTGCCTCCTGGGGCTGAGGATGCTGCAGAAACTAGGCGAGATCACGTAAGTGACACTCTTTGAAAAGTTTCACGTGCCATACAAATGCCAGATATTTCCTCCCAAATAAAATCTTTAGTGCCTTTCTTGGTAGGCACAAAAAGTTGAATGAGATTTGAAAAAATGGAGCTCTGGGAGGTCAAAATCTGACAAATGCCATAGGGCATGAGTTTAGATTTTGAGGCTCTGACCCAAACTGTGGACAAGCTCCTCTACCCTTTGATAATACTAAATACATTCATCTTCAGCTATATGTATGTATATGTGTGTTACACACAGATACACTAGGAAGGTGTGTAGGAAGGACCACACTTTGAGGGTCCTTTTGCAATAACTTGGGGTTGTATATCTGCAAATACAGAAAACCTTATGCAAACATGATATGAATAATTAGACTATGGTGGCCTGGAGAATTCCATGGACCGTATAGTCCATGGGGTCACAAAGAGTTGGACACAACTGAACGACTTTCACTATTTCATTTCACAGCTATAATATGGCTTCTCAGGTGGCACAGTGGTAAAGAATCTACCTGCCAATGCAGGAGATGTGAGAGACGTGGGTTTGATCCCTGGGTCGGGAAGATCCCCTGGAGGAAGAAATGGCAACCCACTCCAGTATTCTTGCCTGGAAAATCCCATGGATGGAGGAGCCTGGTGGGCTACAGTCTATGGGACTGCAAAGAGTTGAACATGTCTGAACATGCACCTTTACATTTACCTTTTCTTTTTTTTTTAACTATAATACTGTCACCTGTGCAAACTCCAGAATTTTAATTTTATGCAGTTCTGGCATAAATTGGTGTGATCTTTCTGGACAGCAGTAGAGAGTTTGATCAAGAGCCTTAAAAATATTTCTGTGGATAAACAAACCATGGTATGGAATACCATAATGGAATACAATGGAATATTATTCAGCCTTGAAAAGGAAGGAAATTCTGACATATACTACAACATGGATGAAACTTGAGGACATGCTAAGTGAGATAAACTGTCACAAAAGGACAAATACTGTATGATTTCACTTACATGAAGTACCTAGAGTAGCCAAATTCATAGAGACAGAAAGAACAGAGGTTACAACCGGCTCGGGGGCAGCGGGAATGAGGAGTTAGTGTTTAATGGATATGGAGTTTCAATTCTGCAAGATGAAAAAAATTCTGGAGGTGGATGGTGGCGATGGTTGCACAACAATGTGAATGTACTTAATGCCACTAAACAGTACATGTAAAAATAGTTTAAATGGTAAATTTCATGTAATGTATATTTTACCACAAGTTTTAAAAAGTGTTTCCATTTCTGAACCAGTAATCCATCTAGGAATGTATTCAAAGGACATAATAAGAGAAGAGGGCAAAGATGTTTGTATAAGGGTGTTGACTTAAGTCTTATTTTGGAACAACTGGAGACAGTCCAAGGGCGAAATAATAGCAGAATGAGCAAACAGATTATAAAATATCTGTGTTAGGAAACACCATGCCGCCAATAAAAAGCTTGCTTTTGAAGAATATATAATGACATGGCAAAATATTCATGAGAAACAGGACTCAAAACCATCTGCTCAAAGTGATCGCAATCTTGGAATATGATACTACTATATGAAAAAGGAAAAAGGTCATAAGGAAGCAAACCATTGGTTACCTCTGGTGGTAGGGATTATAGACACATTTTTATGTTCTTCTTCATGTTTCCTAATGTTCTTTGATGAGTATGTATTAATTACTTTTATATTTCAGAAAAATGGTAATTCAGTAATAAAAGGACTATGGCACTTGCAGATGTGTCTCTAGATCCCTTATGGATCTGGGTACACTCAGGCAGAGTGGCTCACACAGTGTTTCATAGAGGAGACTTCCAAAAGCTCTCCTGGAAGATGAATCAGGTCTGTAATGTACATTGTCTACAAAATACTTATGGCACAGTGGAGATACTTGTGATAAATATCTGTGATTATGTAACGGTGGTCAAAAATACTTTATTGCTTCGGGGTATCAGTAGCAGTTTTGTTGAAATTTGGGGGATTATACAAAACAGTTGCCTAAAGATGGTATGTCAGAAATACGAAACATAAGGTCAAATGTATATTTCATGTTTGAGAAGGATGTGGTTGACAAGTATGATTCACATGGGTTTAGCTAAAATGTCCAAAATATAATCTTCATTATATGTGAAATAGAAGTATTAGAAGTTAGTAACCTAAAGGACAACATATAATGGAAGAAAAGCTCACATTTTTCAATGCAAACAAAACAAACAAACAAACAAAAAATACTTAGGGAAAGCATTCCACAAATAATGCATGATCTAAAGGAAGGCATTTTTCAAACACTAAAGAAGACTTGCATGAATGAAAACATACACCCTGTTCTTGGATAGGAAGGCAGTGTTACAAAGATGTCAATCCTTTTCAGATTAATGTATAATTTAACTTAATCCTAATAGAAATGTCAATGGGTTTAAGCTAAAGATGTGCAGGGGAACTGGCCAAGCTAATAAAACTAAGAGTAAAGTTCAAATGGAAAGCAAATGCTAGGTAAAATTTGAAAAAGAAGAGGGATCAGGACTAGCCCAACTAAATATTAAAAAGATACTATAAAGCTTTAGTAATTAAACAGGTTTTTACTGACACATGCATAAATAGATCCATGCAACAGGATGAAGAGGTCAGAAAGCAGTTTAAATATATTTCTTTTCAAAGAATCTACTTATGGCTTTGATAAGTTTTTATATTATATATTTGTTTTCTATTTTGTTAATTTCTGGATTCTGAGTTCTGTTGTCCTTTTCTCTTTGGACTTCAGATGTGTTTCTTTCCCCCTAACTGAATTAGATACTTAGATCATTGATTTTTTAGCCTTCCTTCTTTTATAACACATACATAAAAACTATACATTTCTTTCAGTATAATTTTAGCTATAGCCTATAAGCTTAGATGTATTTTCATTGTCATTTAGTTAAAAATACTTTCTACTTTCCATTTGACCCATAGTTTATTTTAGAAATGTGTTGCCTAGTTTCCAAACATTTGGGGGACTTTCTAGCTCCCTTTTTGCAACTTAATTTCATAGCAGTCAGAAAACATTCTCTGAATGATTTCAAATATATATATATGGGATTTAGTTAAATATAAAGATAGTACTTCAAATCACTTGAAAGAAAATGAATATCCAATAAATAACATTGGAACAACTCAATGGGGACATGGAAAACAAAAAACATGGGTTACTCACTTCACATAATAAAGGAAATTCCAGATGGATCAAAGATTTCAACATAAAAACTAAAGCCTCTTATATTAGAAAAATATAAGAGGAAACTTTTAAAAAATTTCAGAGTAGGGAAAAGTCTAAATCTAACCTTAAAAGATTGATAAATTTACTCAACATAAAAATACTCAAATCTTTGCTGACCCAAACTACCATGAACTCGCTCTTACAGGTGAGAGGGCATATTCTGGGAGGAATATGAGCAGAAGTTAAGTACTGGTAGAGTTTAGGACTCGGCAAGTTTCATGGCCAATAACTAGGTCTTGAATGGTTGGGATCCTATAGATAGGGAGGAAGTGGGGCAAGTACTTCAGATCCTGGGAAGTAAGGACAGGCAAGCACTTCACCATGTTAGCAAAGCATTTGTTTCAGTCTTCAAGGCGGACTCATCTCATTTAGTGTAATACATTGTCCAGGACTCTAATCAGATGTGTGGGTCATAGGTGATAAAATCCTTCCACACTGAGCACTCTGGGGTTCCTTCCAGATCCACCACATAGCCCTGTGACCGTGAGCCCATCACTAAATACCACTGGGTACCACCTCCTCAGCTGTCAAAACGGACAGCATACATATACATACCTATGGCTGATTCATGCTGATGTTTGGCAGAAAAGTGAAAGTCCCTCAGTTGTGTCTGACTCTTTGCGACCCCATGGACTATACAGTTCATGGAATTCTCCAGGCCAGAATACTGGAGTGGGTAGCCTTTCCCTTCTCCAGGGGATCTTCCCAACCCAGGGATCATACCCAGGTCTCTCGCATTGCAGGCAGATTCTTTACCAGCTGAGTCACAAGGGAAGCCCGCTGTTTGGCAGAAACCAACACAATTCTGTAAAGCAATTATTCTTCAATTAAAAAACAAAAAAAGTATGGCATGAGAAGTAGTGGTTAGAAGCACAAACTTGGGACTCCCCTGGTGGTCCAGTGGCTAAGACTCTGTGCTCCCAGTGCAGGGGGTGGGAGGGTCCATCCCTGATCAGGGAACTAGGTCTCACATGCAACAACGAAGACTGAAGATCCTAAGTGTGCAGTCAAATAAATAAATAAATTAGAAGCACAAAATCTGGAATCGAACTACCTGGGTTCAAATCTTGGCTTTGCCCCTTGCTAGCAACATGCCTCAGTGTTCACATCTGTAAAAATAGGGAGGATGATCATGGTACCTTCATCGAGGATCATTCTGAATTCAATAAATTAACACTTTCATTAGTATATGTAGCAAAACATTTAGAAAATCTCTGACATATAGCTCTATGTTAGCTGTAAAATAACAATCATCAGTGTTACTATTATTTAAGTTGACTCATAGATGAAAAAGACCTCCTATACTAAGAGGTAGATGACTTCGTTTGTAGTTAAAGACGGAATTTTACATCCTGAAATAAGAGATGCTGGAAAATCTCTTTCCTATAATTCCTCAGGAATTATAGACTCAGGATTAGGAAGAACATTAGAAATGATTAATAGGAGATCAGATCATCCGGCCTGTTTGAAGAAGTTCAAGCCTGTGAATTCCGTTTTCAAGGAAACCTGCTCTTTTCTTGGTGAACTTCCTAGGTAAAAGGCTGACGCCAAACTGAACTGGTTTGCCTTCTTATAACTTCCCCTCATCCATGCAACTGCTAGCTTTTTTAGTCATGTAACAAATGTAACCTCCCTCTGCACTCCAGCTCTTCTTGACAATTTTACCAAGTCTTCCTTCACCTCCTCTCTTAGTAACTAAACATGCCCTGTTCTTTTGTGCTATTGACCCAAAATAGGATTTCTGATCCCTCACCGTCACTGTAGCACTGCTCTGGAGGCTCCCAGTTGGTTAACATTCCTATTGCAAGTTGGTACCCAGATCACAGCATTTTGGGTCTGGAAAGTCCCACACATGAATGCTGAGTGAATGAATGAATGGGACAAAGTTCTCCAATTAGCACCATAATATGCCTGAACTATCATCTCCCTTTTATTATCACAAAAGTGCAAGTGTTAGTTGTTCAGTCATGTCTGACTCTTTGTGAACTACAGCCCTCCAGGCTCTTCTGTTCATGGGATTCTCCAGCAAGAATACTGGAGTGGGTTGCCATTTCCTTCTACAGGTGATTTTCCCAACCCAGGGATCGAACCCAGGTCTCCCATATTGCAGGCAGATTCCTCACCATCTGAGCCACCAGGGAAGCCCAGAAGTTTATTATCTCAACCTCAGATTATATTAGCTTTTCCAAACAGAGCATTCAGCTCTGGTCCAGCCTTTCTCCCCTTTGTCATCCTGAGATACAGCTACGGTCATCACCAGCATTTCTGCCATGCCCCTATTTTCCCGGCACAAAATTTCCAGGCATCTAAGTACACAGTGGGATCTGAGGAAACTGATGGACCAAGACTAGTCTAACTTAGTGATAGGGCAACATTTTTTTTTTTTGCCATGCCCCAGGGCATGGGGGATCCTAGTTTTCCAACTGGGGACGAACCTGTGCCCCCTGCAGTGGAAGAGCAAAGTTCCAACCCCTAGACTGTCAGGGAAGTCCCAACAGGGCAACATTTTTGACTGATCTACAGACACAGTAGAGGGAGATCCTCTTGAACAGTAGGTTAGCTGAGGCACAGAAGAATAAAAGTTTGATCAAGGTCACCCAGGGTTGGTGCTGGGGCTGCCCTTCCTCACAGTGCCCTCCCCACAGATGTGCTTGTGCCCAGCCCCATGCTCTGGCTAAAGGGTTCACGCTGCCCTGCAGAGCAGTCCAGGAGGAAAGCCCTGGTTAGCAGGCAGCCACACACCAGGGCTCTGGGGGGGCATGCTGCGTCTGCCCTTCGGCAAACTACTTCACTTTCTAGATTGTGCTTCCCGGAGGACAGCGAGAGGGGTGTTGGTCTCTCCCAGCATTAAAGTTTAAAGCTTGAGGCTTCCCTGGTGGCTCAGTGGTAAAGAATTCCCCTGCTAATTCAGGAGACACGGGTTCAATCCCTGGTCCAGGAAGATCCCACCTGCCGTGGAGCAACTAAGCCTGTGCGCCAGAACTGTCTGTGCTCTAGACCCCAGGAGCCACAACTGCTGAACCCACCTGCCTCAACTAGAGAGGAGCCCCTGCTCTCCACAGCTAGAGAGGAGCCCTCATAGCAACGAGGACTCAGCACAGACAAAAATAAATAAATAAAATAGTAATTTAAAAAAGTTTAATGCTTAAAATCAACTTACTTTATGATTTATTAACCTTTTCTTGACATATAACCTATATACAGAAAAGTGCAGGCATCTTAAGCATACAGCTTGATCAACTATCACCAACTGAATACACCTAACTCCCAGGTCGAAAACAAGAATATCACTGGTACTTAGAAACTCCTTTCCTCTTTCCCTTCCAATCACCCCCAACCATGGTAACTAACCATTTTTCTGCTTCCTCACACCTAGGATTACTTTTGCCTGCTTTTGAACTTTCTGTAAAAGGGATCACCACATTTTTAAATGCAATTTTCTCGAAGGAACTAAAAATTTACACGACAAGCAATTTGGGGATGCCATTGTTTTTGATTTGGGCCACCCGCAAGCTGCTTTAAATTCACTCTATATGGACCATGAAGAGATCTGAAAAAAAGTATTTTACTCGGCCTGATCAACTCACCAAACGAATCTCAGCAGCCTCTCTGGAGGCCCCTGGGGCTCCTCTGCTAGTGTCCTTTCCCCTGTTCAGAAGCACCTAAATCCTGTGATTCTAAGACCCAAGTCAGACTAACTTAAAAACCAAACAAAAACCTCTTCCTTTCAGGATAGTTTTACGTTTTAGTGAAGTTACAATACAGTGCAGCCTGTTCCCACATACCCTGCACTCAATTTCCCCTATTGTTAACATCTCACATTACTATGATGCCATTTTGTCACAACTCAGAAACTGGACTGGTTTATTAAGATTAACTCAACCTCATACTTGATTCTAATTCCATAGTTTTTCCCTAATGTCCTTTTTATTTATTTTGAACAAATTGCTGATTCTAAGGTGTGGGCAGGAACTGCTCAAAATAAGTCTAGAGAACCGTGTAGTGCCAGAGAGCAGGAAAGTGCTCAAAGATCAAAAGGATGGGGCATGCATTACATTTAATCCTCATGTCTCCGTAGGCTCTCTGAACTGTGACAGTTTCTCAAGATTTTGCTTGTTTTTGATGTCCTTGACAGTTTTGAGAAATATTGGTCAGGTATTTTGTAGACTGCAACTCAACTGGGTTTGTCCGATGTTTTCCTCATGGTGATGGGTTTGGGGGAGGAAGATTATAGAGATGAAGTGTTGCTCTCACCACAGCAAATCAGGAGGCCACGACATTGACATAACTTCCTCCTGGTGACCTTGATCCTGATCATCCGACTGAGGCTGTGTCTGCCGTTTCTGCACTGCAGAGTACCTCTCCTACTGTCCTGCCTACACTATACCCTCGGAAGCGAGTCACAAAGTGCAGCTCACATTCAATGGGAAGGGTTTTAAGCTCCACTTCTTTGAGGGGAGAATGTCTACATAAATTAACTGGAGTTATCTGTGTGGGAGATTTGACTCCTCCCTTATTCATTCATTCCTTAGATCAATCATTTCTTTGTATCAGTATCAGTATGGATTCATTCATGGATATTTACTTTACACTTTGTATTAAAATCCTCTATGACGGTGCTTACTCTTTTGCTCAAATTGTTTCAGCCTTGGCCATCAGGAGCACTTTCAGGTGGCTCCTGTGTCCCTTTCTCAGGCCCCATCCTTTTGATCTTTGAGCACTTTCCTGCTTTCTGGCACTACAAGGTTCTCTAGACTTATTCTGAGCATTTCCTGCCCACACCTTAGAATCAGCCATTTGTTCAAAGAGAAGATTGGCCAGTTTGACTCCCTTTCCCCTCAAGATGCTGGGAAATAGCCCAGCTTTATTATGCGGCACAAACTAGCCGTTTGCAAATAATTTTAAATCCAGTTTGATGTTTTGTGGACTTTTCCTCTGATTTTCGTTTGTTGCTGCAGTTCGGGTATGTACTCAACCTCTTTGCCTATCAGCTCTTCTCCCAAATGGTTTCCAATTTGCTTGAAGCTACTTTCCTCATTCACTTGACAGACTGTGATGTTGACCCGCCCCAAGTGAGTCAGGATGCAGAGCTGAGAGAATAAATTAGAGAGGTCGTCCTCTTGCCAGGCCTATACACACACACACACACACACACACACACACACACACACTCAGGACACACACACACACTGAGGGGACACACATACTCACCCTGAGGACACACACCACACACACAGACACAGACACACACACACACACACACACACACACACACACCTGCCCACCCACCCAAGAAGAGAGAAGGCACCACAGGGAGGGCAATAGAGGCCTTTGCTCAGACAGCTGTGTTCAAAGGGAAGGAACAGGGAGGCGCTTGGGCAATCCAGCATGCAGGTCTGAGCTGGCCTGGGGTTTTAGCACAGGAGGAGTGAGTTCTTCTGAACAGGACCAATTAAAACCTTTTAAAGTAATTGTTCCCCTGCCTTCTTTCAAAGTGGAGCACTAATCGTCTTTCACTCTTCCCACCATTCCATCATTTAAAATTAAACCCTTTGCTTCCCTCCCAGGGCTGCCCGTGGCCCATCAGAGAAGTGACACCACCCGGGTTTGCAGCTGGGGGGCTGTGGAAGGCGGCCCTGAGGCTAACTTTGCCTAACACAGAATGAACGAGGACTCTATCTGGCTCTCATCACTGCCCCCACCCCTCCCGCAGAGCAGAGAGGAGAGGGGGAAAGAGCCAGTCAGGTTCCCAGAGCACAGGACCAGGTAGAGAAGCCTCCTGGCGGTGCTGCCCAGGATGCCCACAAACATTACCCGGCCATGGTGGTGGGATGGGCAGGGCCTCCACTGGACGGGGCCATGTACCTTTTGCGGCTCCTGGAAATGAGATCCATCAAGGGGACATCACCTGTCCACCTTCACTCTTCTCTCCCCCTAGCCAAAGTCCCTCCTTTAGGGGAGGATTGTACAAATGTCTGAAGGCTCTGAAGCCATGTGGCAAGCAAAGTTCTCAGGGGAAGGTTTCCCTGTGGAAGTAGGGTAATATATAATTAATGGTACTGCACAGACCTGTAAAGGTTACCTTGACCTTGACTGAGTGATAAATATAACTGGACTTAGACACAGAGCACCCCATTCAGAAAAGCAAACTGCTGTCTCCTTTTTTATTTTAAATCTCATCTCTGTTTTGCCTCTCTACAGTATCAGAGCATTTTAAGGAAGGAAAACCCACGGGCTCTGTCTCTGAACGGTCAAGACCTCCAATCACTCTAGTGGGGGTGAGGGGTGTTGGCCTTCCCCACTGAGTCCACTTTCCTAACCCTGGCCGGGTGGGGTGGCCAAGTGACCCAGTCACTCAGCCAGTTGGTGGCAAGGCTGTGACGGGAAACAAGGCCTGGAGACGCCTCTCGCGTCTAGGCGCTTCCCATAATGGAAGCCTTCGCTCCATTAAAAGTTATTTTCAGGATTCCACAAGCCCACCATCATCTCCCCACCGCCCCCCCCCAATACGGAAAATTTATGTAAACCAGTCAAAATAAAGCAACAGTTTCTTAATAAGTATGTTTGGAGTTTCTCTCTGCACCCAGGCTAGAGGAGGAGGACTTAAAGGTTCCAGTGTTCTTCTCTATACAGCCAGACTATTTTTAACCAGTTAAGGACGCATTCAGGCCCACACCCCTCAGGTTAAGCAGGGCACCGGTTCCACCTGACCCGGCGCCGCCGTCCTCACGGTCCACACACACACACACACACACACACACACATCCCTAGACATAGCGCGGTCCACACACACACACACCCGTCCTTGCGGTCCACACACACACACTCGTCCTCGTGGTCCACACACACACACACAGACACACACACACAACCGTCCTCGCGGTCCACACACACACGCGCACACACACACCCCCCTAGACATAGCGCGGTACACACACACACACCCCCTAGACATAGCGCGGTATACACACACACACCCCCCTAGACATAGCGCGGTACACACACACACACCCCCTAGACATAGTGCGGTATACACACACACACCCCCCTAGACATAGCACGGTCCACACACACACACACACAACCGTCCTCGCAGTCCACACACACACACACACACACACACCCCTAGACATAGCGCGGTACACACACACACCCCCCTAGACATAGCACGGTCCACACACACACACACAACCGTCCTCGCGGTCCACACACACACACACACACACACACACACGCACGCACACACACACTCGTCCTCGCGGTCCACACACACACACACACACACACAACCGTCCTCGCGGTCCACACACACACACACACACACACACACCCTAGACATAGGCCCAGGGCGGGTCCCCTCACCAACTGCATCCGCCCCTCTCCCCTCCTGCCCCAAGTCCCACCGGAGGCCAGGCATCGGGGAAGGAGTTAAGGGCCAGGTCGGTGGCGCCGGAGTCCCAGCTGGTGAGGAGACCGGGTTAAAAGACGGGATCCAGAGGAGGAGGGGAGAACGCAAAGAGGGGGTACATCATTCCCAGCGGGGTTCAGAGGAGGCGGAGCCGCCGGGGCGGGGGGATTCTCCCGTGGGACGGGGGGAGATGCTCGGTGCGCCTCTGAAAGAGCTGCACGGGGACATCCCCGGGGACTTCCAGCCCCCTTCCGAGCTGCGGGGGTCCAAGGCTCGAGTCACCGTGACTCAGCCGGTGCTGGCGGCGAGGAGGCCCGGGGAGCCCTGAGGACTCGTTCGGCGCGCGCCCGAAAACACCGGGTTGTGGGGCGGGGGTGTGGGGGTGTGGGGCGGGGGTGGCGGGGTGTGGAGCGGAGAGTGGGGCGGCGAGAGCGCGCGCGCAGCGGAGGCGCCGGGCGGAGACAGGGGCCCGGCCGTGCGCCGTCAGCCCGGCGCCGCGCTCCGAGTGCCCGCGCCGCCTCCCGGGGCGCCGCGCGGGTGGCACAGGTAGAAGTCGGACCGGGGGCGGGGGCCACCCCGGGGCTCAGGTTCCAGCCGCCTGGCTCGGCCCGCAGCCGCGCGCTGCCAGCGGGCGGGCCCGGGGGGAGTCGGAGGCGCAGCGGGGCGGGGCCGGCGCGGGGCGGGCCCCCCACCGGCAGCACCCCGCCCCGCTGCCCGCAGGCGGCCGAGCTCCCGCGGCTGCGCTCTGGGCGTCGCTGGGGGCAGTGGGGGCGCCCCCGCCGGGCGCCAAGGCGTGGCGGCCCGAGCGGGGCGCGGGGAGGCGCGCCCGCGGCGGGGACCCGGGCGGGGCGCGGGCCGCACTGCCGCGGCGGCGGCGGCGGCGGACCCGTAAACCTTAATGACAGCAATCTCGCCTGTCTGCGCCGCTGACTCACGCGGTGACCCAGCCTCCAGTCACCCGGCGGCTTCGCTCTGGCCTCAGTTTCCCCGGCCGCCGAACAGTGAGGCCACTGTGTCGCTATTCATTCCTTAGAGCCCATTCACTCCCGGAGCATCGCCCGCCTCCCCGGGGGAAGCGACCGAGGCGACGAACTTTTAATTATCTCCCTGGTGGGGTCGGGGTGGGGGAGTGGCGGGGAAGGCCGAGCCGGGCTGGGTAACTGAACTCAGGGCTTATTCCCAGGTCGGTTTCAGCTTTTTATTTTAGACCTTCCTTTCCGCACTTCATCCTGCTCTCGTTTTACCCCTTTTTCTCCACTCTGGTGGAGCTGCTTGAAAAGCCACGAAGTGACTCACCGCCTAGGCCCTGGCGGTTTAGACTTTTCACAAATATTGCATGTTTAATTAATCTCCTCGCTATGAACTTCAGCGCCTACCGAGGGCCAGGCCCTGCGTGGTGAGTGTTAAAGATGAGACTGGCAGTTCTTAAGCCCGGCCTGTTAGAGGAGCCACCTTGTTAGATCCTTGTGTAGGAATGAAATGGATCAAATTACTGATGCAAGCAACAGCGGGTGAATCTAAGCCAAACACAAAAAAGGGTACATACTGTGTGGACCCCCGCCTCCCCAACCCCCCGGAAAATGACAGATCTGATCCATAGACCACCATTGGTTGTTGGGGGGGCGGGGGCAAGGGAGGTAGCTGTGATGAGGACAGAGCAATTCAGGGATGATGGAAATGGCGCATATCTTGATCAAGGTGGATATGTGGGTGTATGTATATAGCTGTCAAAACTCACCAGACTCTAAAATGGGTGCATTTTATTGTGTGTAAATTATATCTCAATAAACTAACCGAGGCCATTAGTCTCAGGAGTCTGGGAACTTTGTCAGCCTCCCTCATCATTCTGAACATTTGAGAATGCATTGAGGGAAATAACTTAAAATACTATAAAACTGGCGAGAGAAGGGATTGAGGAAGGAGCAATGTTATTTCTTGAAGGCTCCAAAGAGGAGTAGTTGCATATGTTAATTGCTGAAATAGTACAAGTCCCAAATATTGCTGTTACTACCCCCATTTTACAATGAAGGAAGCAAACTCAGAGATAAAATGACTCACCAGCCTCACTAGACTTATCCTGGCAGTCATCACTGAGAAGGACTGTCTGCATTTCTCAGTGGACGTACCTGATTTTATCGCTGAGTGTGGGACACTGAGGTATGAGGTTCAGGTCACCAGCAAGGGCTTTGGAAGCAGAGGGGACCTGTTAGAACCCTGCCCCTCCTCTTTCTAGTGGTAGGACCTGGGGCAAATGACCCTCCCTCCGTCTGGGTAAATTGGAGACAGGCCCTCAGGAGTTGAAGTGAGAAGCTGGGAAGTGCTCAGCTGGGTGCCTGGTTCAACAGGTGCCCATGAATGTTGGCACCACCGTGACCTTGAGCAAGTTCCTTTTCTGTTAGGGCCTCTGTTTCCTCACCTGTCACATGGGAGGGTGGGCTCTTAAGTTCCCCTCCACTCCCTGATAGCCTGGAGGGTTTGGAGGATTAGCTGGGGAGAAAAGGACTAAATAATGTCCAGGGCTGAGGGCAAGTGCAGTTCCTGGAAGGGAGGCATCCTGAGAGGGCCTGCCCGCCTCTCAGAGCCTCAGAATGGAAAGGATCTCTTCGTGTTTTTGCTAATCCACACCCTGCCCCGCAAAGGGGAGCATCTTCCGACACCCCCTGTGAGTGTGGACCCTGGCTTCTGCTGGTATGTGTCCTGGGGTTGGGGGCTTGGTCCCTCATGAGGCAGCCTCCTCCACTACTGGACATCTCTGGTTTCCGAAGCATTCTGCTTCTTCATGTGGACCCCCAGTCTGTCCCCCCGGGTCTCTCTCTCTGACCACAGTTTTGGTGACCAGGCCCTGTGACCCCCTGGGGAAAATTTTCTTCCTTTCCCCGTGGGTTTCCTCTTTCCTCTGCCCAGACTCTTTCCCTTCAACAACTAAGGACTAAACTGAGGGAAGGAAGGCCAGTGTGTGTGCCCATGGGAGACCGACTGACAGATCTTTCAGGATCCGTGTCAGGCCCACTCCCAGAAAGCGGGGTGAAAGCCACGGTGACCTCCTCTGAAAGACACCCATGTCTCTGGTTCTGGGAGGCAGGACCCCCACACCTCTGCTTCCCACCCCTCCTTGCTCAGAGGCCAACCAGCCAGGGAGATTTAGAGACTGCAGAGCAGATTCGGACACATCAGAAACACATCACACACACACACACACACACACACACACACTCTGTGCATACACCTCACACGCCCCAGAGACTCTCACAGCAGTGCACAGCTGTGGCCTCCCCTCCAGGCCTAACTGAGGGGTCCGAGCAGGGTCCTGGGCAGGCCTGGGTGCCCCTGAGGGAGGAAGGGCACTGTCTCATTTGCACAGAGGCTGGGTCTGTGCTCCCCGGGCCTCTGGCCTGCCCCCCATGGCACAGCAGTCCCCCCACCTGCAGCCCTCTCTGCACCGTTAGACCTCAGGGCCCTGGGGGCACCCCCGGCCTCCCCACTGGAAGTCCCCGTCCCGTGTGGGGACCCCACTGCTCTGCGTACCCCTCCTCCAGGACCTGGCTTAAGGCACAGCTCAGCTCTTCCCTCCCTGTGCCCCTCTGTGACTTATCACCTGGACCGCTCTGTCACGGTTCACCTGTTTAGCCCCCACAGGCTTGTTCAGCACCTGCTTGAGCCAGGCCCTGGGCTCAGGGCTGGAGACGCAGAGTGGACGAGGTCAAGCTCACAGTCTGTGGACATCAGCCCCCTGCAGGCCGGTGGTCAGACACAGTGAGCTGGGTCATGGTCGAAGCATCTGTGGGAGCTGTAGGAACCCAGAGGGGGCACCTGGAACCCTGACCAGGGGAGCAGTCATGGAGAACTTCTTGGAGGAGGTGCACGCCCTAAACGCCATTCACTGTGACTCACAGCATGCTGAGCTGTGTTCTCTGTCACTAAAGGGAGGCCTTGGCTTGAGTCCCCAGCCTTGGGAAAGGGGTCCGACTCAGCTTCAGTGTCCTTGTCCTTGCGAGGTAGAATGTCAACCTTGTCCTTGCTGAGGCGATGTGGTGAGGTGGGTGTGGACGCCGCGCAGCCTGCCTTCAAATCCTGGCCTCGTCACTGCGAGCTGTTCTGTTCAGCCTTGGGCAAGCTAGCTCACTCCTGAGTCAGTGTCCTCGTGTGAAACACGGGGGTCGGAACCGCAAGTCCTCGCAGAGGTGTTGGGAGGATTTAAAGCGTTTCGGTCGGGCAAGGTTTCCGCACGGTGCCTGGCCCCTGTTGGGCCCTGTGTGCAGAGCGTATATGTACATGGTTAGCCGGCCCCGGTACATAGGAGGAGTTCAACCCGTGTGCCGGCACGGACATGCCCTCAAACCAGTCTCTTCATCCTACCGGACCTTTAGCTGTGTCTGAGGAAGAGATGCCGGGCTGGACGCAGAGGTGTTTTCTGTGCTCCTTCGGGCCGCAGGCTGGGCCTCGGTTAGTGGAGGGTGGGGCGGTGGCAGGGAGGCTCCTTCGGTCACTCGGTGGATGGCCACAGGTGCTGGCCCGGTGCCGGGCCCCTCCCAGTTGGCACCGTCGCTGGGAGAGTGGCAGTGGCACTCACAGTGATCTGACTGCTTTCCTAACCTCTCCCTTCTCCAAACATGGGCTCACCTTGGCTTTGAGCAGATTTCCGTGATCACTGCCATTCCCTCGTCTGTTTCTCTCGCCTCAAAATAAATATGTAAATATCAAACATCTGCCCATTCCTCAAACAACTAGAGCTACATTAGGACCCAGCAGTACCACTCCTAGGTATATACCCGAGAGAAATGAAAACATATGTCCTCATCTGTAACATGGGAGTCATAACAGGAAGGACTTGTATGGAAACTTGTATGGGAATATTTACAGCAGGATTATTCTCAACAGCCAAAGGGGTGGAAACAACCGGAATGTCCCTGAGAGGACCAATGAATAAGTAACAGATGGTATATCTACACAACCAGAGTATTATTTAGCAGTAAAAAGGAATAAAGTACTCATACATGCTTAAGTTTGGATGGATCTTGAAAACATTAAACTAAATGAAAGTGTTTGTGTGAACACTCAGTTATGTCTGACTCTGCAAACCTGTGGACTGGGGTCTGCCAGGCTCCTCTATCTGTGGAATTCTCCAGGCAAGAGTACTGGAGTGGGTTGCCATTTCCTTCTGCAGGGGATCTTCCTGACCTGGAAGATCAGGGTCTCCTGCATTGGCAGGTGGATTCTTTACCACTGTACCATCTGTTGTTCAGTCGCTCAGTCGTGTCCGACTCTTTGTGATCCCATGGATTGCAGCACACCAGGCTTCCCTGTCCTTCACCATCTCCTGGAATTTAC